GGTGTTTACTGGCGTACTAATGGGTCCTATGCCATTAGGTCAATATTTTAACAGTTGCGTGGAATCGAACAATCACTTTTTTATTTTTACACAGACCTACCAACGAAATGGCTCCAATATATAATAGATAGTTTATTTTTAGCTGGCCTTAACTTCATATAGAAAAGCAAATTGTTTAACAAGGATAACATGTGGGCCAATTTTGGAAACAATGGTAAGTAGTATCTCACCTTCTCCTGGTAATTTTAAAGGCGGTAGTAGTTCCTTCCGAGTTTAAGTGTGGATGTTTGTACTAACATGCACTTTTTAAACCTAGTCTAACCTGCGTTTTCCCATAATTATTAAAGAGGTCCCTTAAGACTCGGCTACTCCATAACTATTTATTTATGAATAATGGCTGTTCTTTCGTCTTGTTGTTGTAGTACAAATTGTTTTTGAAAGTAAATATGTGTATAATGGAAAATTTAAACCAATGAGGTAAGATGTAAAGGTGAGAGGACCTGTAGAGGCTTCTTTCATCACTGAGGATTTTGTGTAAAGAATTATTGGGAACATTGTTATGTCCAACCATTGTCTCGAAGAAAAAACAGCTTTGGTGCACAAAACTCTAGCCGATATTCGACCTCGCGGTTGCTATTTATGAGAAACACAATAGATCTTGTCTCTAGTACATATACGCTTATGCAAAACAATCAATTAATAATTAAGTTAAAAGTAGTAATTGCATTTATAAAATTTTTATTTACGAAAAAAATAACAGAGAAAAGTGTATAGAGGTTTAGGTATATATATTGCCATTATCCAATATTAATCTTTGTATTAATCTCGATATATTTCTTTAACGCTGGAAATCTATATTATACCAAATCATAGCATTTGACTGCGGTATTTCTTCATTTAATAATTAAAAAACTACTACTAATTATGGTGATATTATTTTTTAACGTACTATATTCCATATATATAGGAAGTGTGACTTATAGATAACATTTTCTGGTGGTATTTCTTTTTTTAACATTTATCTAATGTTACTTATTGTGGTAGTACCCTCTTTGAGAATTTATTCTATAAAAATTGAAAGTGTACCTTAAAGACTACATTTTCTTATGAAATCACTTTTTCTATTATTTGGAAATATGTTACTTATTGTGGCGATATTCTCTTTTCTAACAATCACATTAATGACTGTATGTAAAATATTATTAAAATTGTTAATCATTTTATTGATACTCACTTGACTGAACATAGAATGACCAGGATGGATCCAGTTGATATTAAGAAGTCATTGAAACTTGGTAATTGAAAAAGATCGTTTATAATATTAATGAAATGAAAGAGACTTTTGCAACAGATTCGAGATATACATATGTAGAGGATTGAATTGAATCATTAGAATTTTTATTTTGTATATAAGATATTCCCACAATAGGTCGATGTAACGCAACCCAACAGTCTATACCTACAGTAGAAGTCACCTTTTAGTATGTGGGTAATATATAAGAATAATATATAGTAGAATATATAAAAGAATAATCACCCGTAGTTTCCTTCAATTTGTGTCTTTCGTTGATTAAAGGATTGTAAACGTCATTAAGGTCAAGACAGATCAACTTAGTTGTATCTGTCAATCTATCAGTTTTAACTTTGTTTTGATGTAAGTAAGTTATTTGATAACTAACAAAGTTAATAGAATAACATTTTGTGAATCAATTATCTGTTAATCTGACCAAATCAGTTTTATATATTTATAAAATTAGTTGACTTAATTATGTAGTCAATATAATCTAAATATAATAAAAATATAAATAATAGAATTTGTATATAAACGGTAACCAATTTTTATGTTATATGATGGGGGCCACTAACCGAAACTGAACCATAAACAAAAAAAACGATATTTTTGCCGGAACGAAATCTCAACTGAACCGATATTTTTTGTGCAATTGACCCGAAACGAAAACGTTTCCGATCCAAAGCTAATAATAAAAATATCTAAATGAAGGTTATAAAAGTTTCAAAAAAAATTAAACCTTGTATCTTATTATTATGTTGAGGCTAGTTGAGTCAGTGCACTTGAGCACTTTTACTCTCTTCTAATTGCGAGATTTCTTCATAACGCCTCTCTACGCCTTGACTGGATTATTGTTTATCACTTCATCAGACTAAGCAATAATTGACCTCAGATCTGCATACTTTTCCCAGGAATAACCAATCTGACATTCGATAACGCGGTGTTGGTAAATATTTTATAATATAATATGAAAACTAAATAAGACAAACTAAAGATATACATATGTATAATGTAGGGGAAATATTATTCATTAATGACTCTTTTCCAAAGTCTACAGAATATAATGTAAACAGAACATTAATAATAAAAGCCGGCTTATACGGAAAAAAATAGGTCACTTACTCAAGACCTGAGAATTTTAAAAGAAATTCAATTTGAATAATTTTATTGTAACAATGAAACAATTTCTAAATTTGTGTAATATAAGCAAAATTTCAATATATATAATGTATTTTTAAACTTTTATAAACAATAATAAATGTTTTTTTGCAAAATTTGCTTTAATTTTTTTTGTTTTCATATATAAATAATACCAGCGTAGCAGAATATTCAGTTTAAGTTAATAATTGCAAAAAAAATTATTATAAATTTTAAGAATTTATAACGTGGAAATATGTTATTGTTACAGTGGGCAGATCAAATAAAATTTTCAGTCAAAATTTTTGTTATTATAATTATAATAATAATATTGAATTTATTGTTGGTATTGGGTATATATATAATATATATATATTATATATATATATATATATATTATATATATATAATTAATAATATTATATATTATATTAAGTAACATATTATATATAGCAATTATTAAATAGTAATATATTCAAATAGTAGTGTATTAAGATATTTATTTCAAGATATATTATTATTATTATTTATAAATAAACATACAATTATTTATAACAAAAAGTTATTTAAAAATACGTAATTATAAATCAATATTAATGATTTAGGTATGAGATAGATTATACAATAAAAAAAATTTTAAATTGAAAAAAAGGAATTATTTCTGAACTCTAACGATGTTTAATATGTCAATCAAGACCTTTCCTATCACAAATAGAAAAATAAACACTTTTCATCAGAGGTCTTCAGTTAAAAATTTAGCTTACAAATTTCTCAATATATTATTGGCTTATTTATATTGATTTCATTTGCTTCAGATATATGACATACGAGTTAATAGTTGCTATTTGCATAATTTATAGAACTGTTGTTGATACCGGGTGAGGTAAATAGAACTACGCCGACTTTGTGTAGGGTATATCAAAAACATAATGTCAACTTTATTCAGAAGCAAGAAGAGAAAAACATAACACAAACATTAGTTAGTCCTGTCTTTTAGTTTAGGTATAACACTACAGGTAGGTACCCAAAAATGTGGACTGGGGTGTCCACATCTCACACCTGTAAAAGAAAATAAAATTTGTTATTCTAAACAGCTGTTTCTAAAATTAAAGAGCCAAAAGAAGAATATTGTTATAAAACAATAGTCTAAAAGTGAAATATATCAAATATTCATATTCGTGTTAAATCATCTCTACAAAGGTTGGGCAACAATTTTCTCAAGTGTTTAAGGAGTGCTATAACCTAATAGCAATTCATTATGATTTTCACCTCTTCATTATCGCAATTTTTGAATGAACATGTCATATGGGAAAAATTTTATAAATTTACTTAATTTATAAATATGGAATAGATGGTCCTTCTAACAAATACAAGACTAAAGTCTATTCCTAGTCATACAGTCCCACTCCAAGTAATTTTAAAAAATGGATAGTGTATTGTGACAAATATTATTAGATAATAATTATTATTCATTTTAAATTATACTATAAATTTTAGAAAATAGTTTTAATAAAGTATAACATTTACATCATTTCTTTTATTAAAAGTTTTAATGTCATAAACCTGAACCCACTTACAATAGCAATACATTTTGTTTATGTGCAATATTGTAGCCATATAATATTAATAATATTAGTAGAAAATAATAATAATTTTTATATAATAATAATCTTGTAAATAAAATAGATATTATATATGCTATTATACGTTATTTTCTTTCAAAGAATAAACTAAATATTGTTTAAGAAACTTTTAAAGATGTTGTCGTCTTGTTCTAGATTTCCAACGAATGTTAATCTGTGGATTTATTACATCCGTCGAAGAACAGAAGTTAAATAAAATAGACTTACGCCGAAGCAGAGAGCCTAGAAAGGCTACCCTTTTAACATTAAAATTTACTACATAATTAAATTGTTTCAGGAGGGGTAGGGTTTGTGAATCTGAGCTACTAATAAACATCGACGATAAAGTGTCATTCTATACATCCGGCGAAGCAAGGAAGATGCATTGAAGAGGTTATTCCAAGTATACAGAGGTTTTTCCACATTAATATTAAAATTGACTATATAGTTTTAGTATCTGAAAATTATAATATATTTATGTAAATATATTTAGTTGATTTCCTGCGCTCCTTAGAGTAAATGGAATAAAATAAAAAAAATACAAATAATTCAGTAAAATTTGTAAAATACAAAGAAATTTTAATTAATTAATTAATTAACGCATATTTGACTGAAATGTTCCCCCACCTAAAGTAAAATATACAATCGACGTGCGTTTAATATTTTGAATAATTCTGTTGTAAAAGAAATACGTCGCCACTACGTTTACATAAAGCGATCATTTCTTGCTAACTTGGTAAGAAACAAATGTTTTGTAAAATAAATTACATTTAGTACGACCGATTATTTGCTTTTATTTATTTCATAAAAAAATTTGTTAAAAAAACACTGAAAAAAGTAAGCGTGTTGCCCGTACAGGCTACCAATTTGTGATCAATGCAAACCAAGCTTAGATTTTTTCTTCTTAACAAATTGTCACGTAGTTTAATGAGTATGGATTCGCCTGAATTTGGGTATATATACCATTTGAAAATGTAAGTAAATCATTAGTTTCAATTACTAAATTATAATATCAACATGAACCGTTACTTTGTAAGTATCAAAGAACCTATAGTTCCTGAAAATATTCTTAATCCGACAACAAGGATGAACAAATCATTAACTTTTGATTTTTGGTCTTCTAAATTTTAAGGTTGCCGCTTATTTCGCCGTCATCTTGGCTGTTGTTAACTGCAGTATATATGGTGGTTTAAGTAACGTGGGTTATGGACTTGGAGGTTATGGCTCAGTTATTAGTCCATTGGGTTACGGTTCACCAATTGTCAATCCATACGGTATCAATTCATATGGTCTCAGCCCACTCCGCTTAGGAAGAGCTAGTTCCGCATCTGCAGCAGCTGCTGCTTCTGCTTCTGCCAGTGGAAATCGCGGATATGGTGTACCTTTGGGCTATGGTGGCTTGGGTTCAATTTATTAGGCTGTGATCAATGAACTATTTCGACAAATGAGAATAATAAAATCCTTGAATTAAAATAAATAATCTTTTTGTTTGATTTTTAATTTTAATTGAGTGAAAAAATGCGAGATTATTAAATTTTACTTAATATTATAGAACAAATAAATGTTACGAATAATATCCACTTAATGAATTAAATTGAATATGAATTGTCCACATATAGGAAAAAGTTATGGTTGTAAAACTATTATAGTTAAACGGTGTCAACCAATTCTCGAGCTTCTTTCACACTGCAGATAGAATAATTTCAAAATTTTGTAGATATAATTTATTTATCACTAAAAATCTTGTTAAGAATAGTAGAATATTATAGATATTGCCTTTCATCAACAATAAACATCTACTTCTTATAGAAAATAGTTCTCAAAAATTCTGTGAGAGACTGTTTAAGTTTTAAATTTTCTTAAAGTATTCTGCTTAGGTTTTGATATATATCCAAAATAAAATAAATATAGATATCAAAATAAATAAAGATATTCAGAAAATAATTTTATCACTTCACTCGGACTTATGTTTAAAAAAGTCTCTAAATTTTGTTCTTATTATTTGTCTGAATCGCTGAGCTTGTTTTTCAAAGCATAGTTCTGTTATTTGGTTAATAAGTAGTTAAGAGCTTTTGTGACAGTATGTTTTTCTAGATAAAGATAAGGCGGGATAATCGTATAGAATGTGATAAGAAACCTTAGGGAGACAATCAAATAGGGAGAGTATTTTGTTACATTAGATCATTATATTTGGGTAGGATGGTTGCCCGGCCTACAGTGACCTAATCGGTCATCTATTAATAATTTTAATTCTATCCTACTGACATACATATGTTATGTGTGATTATAGGCAACTAGAAAAATTGATGTTTTGGTTAAATGGAAAAAGGTTAGTCAATCTATATTTTATCGATTTCTATTTGCTTATCTTCTTTTGGCTATAGATAAAACTTCACAAAATATAGGTTTTCATGTTTTTCTATTATACTTGAAATTTCTAACATATATAAACCAATTGATGTGAATAAACTATTAGTTACAATTAACAAATCAAAACAACAACATGAATTGTTTTATTGTGAGTATCAAGAGATTTAATTCTATTATAAAAATATTATTTCTACCTTAGTAAAATCAATTGATTAAATTAATTTTATTCTTTTCTAAGTTTTAATATATTTACTTATTTAACGACCATCTTAGCAGTTTTTAATTGTATTGATCTCTTAGGATATCGCAGTGTAATTTGCGAAGCTATTGTCAGAAAACCATATTCTGATCCACATTTAACGGGTCTAAAACATTTGAGTCCAATTATGGTGTAATTAATTTGTCTAATTGTGCTAGACGTCATTAATCCATGTGATGCTGTAAGGCACTCAGCCGCTAATACTGCATCTGCAGCTGTCTCTTCTGCTGGAAACACAAGAGTAATTGCAAATCGCTATGAATTTCCATTAGTTTCTCCAATAGTTTCTCCCTATGGTTCTCAGTTAATTAACCAAATTTACTAAAAATTGTTTAATGAAAATGAAAATGAATATAATAATATGAATATGTTTCAATTTGTTAGAAAAATTAGTTTCATAGATAAATTGAATTCAATTAAGAAATTTAAATATACATATATAACAATTGATTAGAAATATTTTAAAAATATTTTTTAATTTTTAAAAAAAATGCTTGTAATTTATTAACTTAATAAATAAGTTTTATCAGTTCTTTATATCTAACCCTATCGAACTATTACGCATATGTTTTACTAAGAATATTACTTAAATATGCTATTCTCAATTATTATAGAAACATTGTATTAATTTTTTACTCAAACTAAATTAATTAAATTCATTTAGTTAAAATAATATAAAATGGGTTATTGTTGTTGTAGTTCACTACTGTTCGAAAAACCTCTTTATTAATTTTTTATATTTTATATTCATTTATTTTTTATATTCAGCGCATGTTAACAATAGAAAAAAAATTATTTTGGAGGTATTTAATAATAAAAATATCCACCAAAAATATGCTATATTTTCTATTTTAATATATAACGAGTAAATAACTTACTCGTTCTCTATATACCATGTGGAGGTTCTATAATAGAAAAGTTCGATGTTTTTTTTAAATTTTCTTTCTAATATAAGAAGACTGATTTCAAAGTTTATTTTTCTTAGAGTATTGGCAATATATAATGTCATATTTAATGGTCAAAGACAAAATAATAAATATAAACCTAGATCACAACTTTGATCGATACTTTTTAAATAATTTTTTTTAAAATTTTTTAAATAAATTATAAAATCTTAGTCAATTAAAAGACTGGATCAAAGAGATTTCTTTATCGTATTTTCTGATATTGTCATTGATTTATATATGTAAATTCAGCACATTTAAAAAAATTTGATTTATATATGTTTATTCGTTTTTATTTATATTAATAACTTAAAGTATTTTGTTTAATTCCAATTACTATAATTAATATGTGGGCACTATTAAGTAACGTCTAGTAATACTCTGAAAGTATTTACTATAAACTTTACTATAAAATTTTAATTTCCTCTTGAACCAATTTTTTCTTGAGGTATTAGTTGAACATTTCAATTATATATTGTGTATAACAAAATTATATTATATATTGATTTAATTATATCGTCTTTAACTTTAGACAGTTGTGATGTATTGTCACCTCTTAATCACTATATTTATCGTTTTTTTAAGTAGGTTTAAAACTTGTGTTTCAAATCTTTTACCTAACTTGTGTCGCTTTTATAACCGAATATTACCAAATCATTGAATTTTTTATAATTCCTATTGATTAGTAGAATAGAGAATCTTGTAGAGAATTCTTGAACAGAGAGACAGGTTGCCTATTTTCCTATCTGAAATGTGAAAAGTTCTATTTATTCGGTTAAGCTGTTAGTGTTCATATATATCTTAAAAATATCGTGTTTATCATTTGGGAAGCGATCTCCACAAGCCTTTGTTCAGACATCTAGTATTATAATATAGATACTTTTCTTTATATATATTATTTACACAAATATGTCATATTTTATATAAAATTAAATCGATTGATTCATACATTAAATATTTAAATTCGTTAGGCTGCGTATATCAATTTTCTGGGTACTTCTATTAAAAGTCTATTTTATACACGAATTGCTAGTTTCGGCTTCACGTTTAAGAAATTTTGTTTATGTCAAAGAAGTTGGCAACTGCATTTACATAAAGCGATCATTTTTTATTTGGAAATAAATGTTTTGTAATAATAATTACATATAGCACGAGTGATTATTATGTTTAATTTAGTTCTTTGAAAAAACTATACAAAAAAAACACTAAAAAGTAAACACGAAGCCGGCACAGGCTACTAATTTTGAAGCCAAACTTAGATTTTTTGTTCTTAACATAATGTCACGTACTTTAATGAGTATGGATTCGCCTGAATTTGGGTATATATACCATTTGAAAATGTAAGCAAATCATTAGTTTCATTTACTAAATTATAATATCAACATGAACCGTTACTTTGTAAGTATCAAAGAACCTATAGTTCCTGAAAATATTATTAATCCAAAAACAAGGATGAACAAATCATTAACTTTTGATTTTTGGTTTTCTAAATATTAAGGTTGCCGCTTATTTCGCCGTCATCTTGGCTGTTGTTAACTGCAGTGTATATGGTGGCTTGGGTGGATACGGAGTTCAACCTGGTGGTTATAGCTTGTCAAGAAACCCTGCTGCTGTAGTAGCAGTTACTGGTCCATTGAGTTATGCCCCAGTACCTCATCTACGCGGTCTCATCAGCCCATACGGTGTCGCTCCATATGGTGTCAGTCGCTTAGGAAGACCTAGTGCTGCATCTGCAGCTTCTTCTGCTGCTGCTGCCAGTGGAAATCGCGGATATGGTGTGCCTTTGGGCTATAGCGGCTTGGGTTCAATTTATTAGACTGTGATCAATGAAACATAAAATAAGAATAATAAAATCCTTGAATTAAAATAAATAATTTTTTATTTAATTTTTACGTTTAGTTGAGTGAAAGAATGAGAAATTATTAAAAAAAATTTTTTACTTAATGTTATAGAGTAGATAAATGTTATTGAAAATAATAACATACATTACTGATTGCTGAAAAGATCGTAGTTTTAACACTATTTACCGACATACACAACTGTCCATATATAGGAAAAAGTTATGGTTGTAAAACTATTATAGTCAAACGGTGTGAACCACTTCTCGAGCTTCTTTCACACTGCAGACAGAATAATTTCAAAATTTTGTAGATATAATTTATTTATCACTAAAAATCTTGATAAGAATGGTAGAATATTTTAGATATTTAGATATTTCATTTTATTTACCATATTTTATAAAATTGTATTTAGTTTCTATTACAACTCGTGTTCATTTTCATTTCATTTGTATTGCAAGTATCAGAAAATTTAATTCCAGGATAAAAATTTAATTCCCAACTCAATAAGAACAATTTATTAAATTCATTTCATTCTTTTCAAAATTTTAATATTTTCACTTATTTCGCGCCAATCTTAGATGTTGTTAACTGCATTAACCTCTCAGGATATCTCGGTGTAATTTCTGGAGCTATTTTCAGAAAACCATATCTTGACCTACATTTAACGGATCTAACACATTTAGGTCCAATTATGTTGTAATTATATGATCCAATCGTGCTAGGCGTCATCAAGCCATGTAATGTTGTATACAATCTAAGACATTCAGTTGCTAATGCCGCATTTGCAGCTGCCTCTTCTGCTGGAAACAAAAGAGTAATTGGAAATCGCTATGAAGTTCCCTTAGTTTCTCCAATAGATGCTCCATATGGTTTTCGGATCATTAATTCCATTTATTAAATATTGTTTAACGAAAATTTAATGAAAATGAATATAATATTATGAATATGTTTCAATTTGTTAGAAAAATTAGTTTCATAGATTAATTGAATTGCATTAAGAAATTTAAATATACATATATAACAATGGATTAGAAGTATTTTAAAGATATTTTTATTTTTTATAAAAAAGCCTCGTAATTTATTAACTTAATAAATAAGCTTTATCAGTTCTTTATGTACGACTCTATCTAACTATAACGAATATGTTTTATTAATATTATTACTTAATTATGCTATTCCCAACTTTTATAAGAACATAATATTTTTTTTTTATATTATTATTTATTCAGTGCAAGTTAAAAATACAAAAAAAAAAATGATTTTGGAGGTATATAATAATAAGCATATCCACCAAAAATATGCTATATTTTCTATATATTTATATAACGAGTAAATGACTTACTCGTTATATATATACCATGTAGAGGTTACATAATAGAATTATTAAGTCTCTTTCTAATATAAAAATAATGATTTTAAAGTTAATTTCTTTGATAATGGTCAAAGACAAAATAATAAATATAATCCAATTCGTTACTATGATCGATACTTTTTAACTAATCTTTTTTTACAAAACAAAAGTATGTCTATACTTCTATAACACAGTATTGCCAAATCATTGATTTGGAGCATTAGCTGCAAAGTTTAATTATATATCGTATATAACAATATTATATATATAGTATTATTAGATTAAATTATTTTGTGTGTTAGTTTAGACAATTCTAACACATTGCCTCTTCTATAACCCAGTATTTGATATACTACCTATTGATTACTACAAGTTCTTGTAGAGAATTGAACAGAGAGAAATATTACCCACTTTCCTTGCTGAAAAATTAAAAGTTCTATTTATTAGGTTAAGCTGCTTGTCTTCAAAGATATCTTATACCTAGATTTTGTGTTTATCACTAGGGAAGCGATCTCCACAAGGTTTTGTTTAGTGGTCTAGTATTATAACATACTTACTTCTCCTACTATGTATCAATTATAAGAATATGTCGTATTACATATAAAATTAAATCGATTGATTCATGCATTAAATATTTAAGTTCGTTAGGCTGCGTATCTCTATTTTCTGGTTACTTCCATTAAAAGTCTATTTTATACACGAATTGCTAGTTTTGGCTTCACGTTTAAGAAATTTTGTTTATGTCAAAGAAGTTGGCTACTGAGTTTACATAAAGCGATCATTTTTTATTTGGAAATAAATGTTTTGTAATAATAATTACATATAGCACGAGTGATTATTATGTTTAATTTAGTTCTTTGAAAAAACTATGCAAAAAAAACACTAAAAAGTAAACACGAAGCCGGCACAGGCTACTAATTTTGAAGTCAAACTTAGATTTTTTGTTCTTAACATAATGTCACGTACTTTAATGAGTATGGATTCGCCTGAATTTGGGTATATATACCATTTGAAAATGTAAGTAAATCATTAGTTTCAATTACCAAATTCAAACAACAACATGAACCGTTACTTCGTAAGTATTAAAGAAGTTCTAGTTCCTGAAACTATTATTAATCCAATAACAAAGATGAACAAGTTATTAACTTAATTCTTTCTTTATTTAAAGGTTTGCGCTTACTTCGCTGCTATCTTTGCTGTTGTCAACTGCAGTTTATACGGTGGTATTGGTGGATATGGAGCTCCAGTGTTGGGCGGTTATGGGAATCCAAATTTGGTGGGCTTAGCATTACATGCTCCTTCTCCTGGTGCCCCACTCATTAATCCCATAGCTATACCACGTATCATTAATTCATACCCAGTGTCATATGCTCCAAGCCGTTCCATTGTCGCACCAAATGCAGCTAAATCCGCATCAGCAGCTGCTGCTTCCTCTGTAGCTGGTCGTCCAGGTGCCGTTATAGGTCGCCATGCTCCATATGGTTCAGTAGTTGCTCCATATGGTGTACCTTTAGGTTCAATTTATTAAACTGTGATTTACAATTTGGCTAATTGAAAATAATAAAAGATTAGAACTAATATAAAATATATATATTTTTGTTTGATTTATAATTGATATATAATATTATGGAGTGCAGTCATGCCTACATATTTTATATTTTTTTGTTTTATTATATATAACTATAATAAGCCCGAAGAATGCAAGCCTCCAGTTATTATTGACATTTGTATCGTAATATAGAAATATATAGAAATTTATCTATACAATTTTTATATTGTACGATGTAACATAAATATATATCTATATATATATATATATTTATAGTAATTTATTCGCTCTATCAAGAATTTCAAATTCTAGAAAATAAATTTCAGATGGGAATAATTTTTGAAATAATTATTAATACTATTAAACTTTAAGAAACTTGAATTATTTTACTTAATTTTATTTATTATTTACTCATTCATTATAGTTCATTTTTTATTTATTATTAATTTGTGAATCATTTTATTTTGATAAATTTTTCATTTTATTTTTCTACTTTCTTTAATTTCTTGTGATTTTTATTTGAGTTTGCTTTATTTACATTTTTTTATTTAATTTAAATTCAATTTAAATTAATTTAATATATTAACTATTTTGTTTTATTCTATTTATTATTTTATTTTGTTTATTATTTATTTACTTAACTGTTTCATTTTGATTTATAATATATTATTTGTTTTATATAATTTTAGGATATATTATATCATTATTATTTAAGTATTATTTCACTTTATTTATTTTAATTTAATTTTATTTTTATTTTTATGTTGTTATGTATTAATGTTATATTAAACTAATTTTATATTTTTTTACTTTATTGTATTTTTTTTATTATGATATGACTATATTTTTTATATTATTCTATTCTATTTTATTATTTTTTTTTATATAATTTACTCATTTTGTTGTGTTATAAAATACAATTTTTTTAAATTACTTGATGTATTTTATTTTTCGTTATTTTATATTATTTTATTTTTTTTATATTTAGTTGATTATTTAATTTGATTATTTCAGTCTATTTTTAATTCTATTTGGATGTGTTTCATTTTACTTTTTATTTTATTCTTATTCATATTATTTTATATTATATGAAATCATTTTATTTTAGTTTTATTTTTGTTATTTTATATTATATTATTATTTCCATTTTATGTTTTTGTTTTGTTTTTGTTTTGTTTAAATTTAAATGTACTAGATTCATTTTATTTTATTTTGTATTATTTTATTATTTATTATTTTATTTAATTTTATCATATTTTATTTTATTTTATTATATTTTTTTATTTTGTTTTATTTTATTTTCTTTTATTTCATTATATTTTATTTATATTTAATATTATTTTATTTTACTCTATGTTATTTAATTTTATTTTCATTTTATTATCATCAGCTCAATAGGTTACCTGAGTACATAGAAAAATAATGGTATTGTATAGTATATAGTATGTATATAGTATTCCTTACTTGATAATTTCTTTATCACAATTTAATTGGCTTGTCTGGATTTGTACTCTTCAAGACTTCGTTACATATTTCTATGATGCATGCTATTAAAAGTACTACTATAATTTTATAGTCAATGTTTACAGCAATCACTTATCAGCTCATTACTTATCCGAATTATTATTAACCATAACAGAAAATTATTGCTTTATCTGTATAATTAAAGACCAAAACACTTAGTCATATTTCTTGTCTTTATATAACATAATAACATATAATAAAATATATACATTTACTGCATTGATAATATCAGTCATTGGTGATACTTAACGTTTATATTTCAGATATATAACACATTTCTAAAACTAAATAGTTAACTTAGGTTAATTATGTTATCGAATATAAACTTAAGTATAATATTATGATTGCTTATTCACTAATAAATTTATAAGTAATATATTACCATATATATATGGATAATGCGCTCCTATGCTTCTTCTAGGAGTTAAGGGATTAAATATATATATGGTAAAATATTTTTCCTATATCTTTACACTGATTTTATAATAATTTCGCATTTCTATTTATTAGGTAAGTCATTTTTTTCGTAGTTGTTTAAGGCTTATTTATTTATTAGACTGTTTATATTTTATAAGAAAGATCGAGTATAACAATGGAGAGCACTTTATATTATTAATTATTACTGCTATCTTCTATTTGCACTATTTGTAGTAAATGTTAATAAGAAATCATGGAATTTAGTATTAAATATGATTAATCAAATACATGAAATATAACAAGTATACGTATATCTGGATATACTGCTTAACAATGGTAATAGTTTTGGACGAATATTGCCCATAATGATTGATATAAAATTATTTACGAATATATAATGTTTTTCTTATACTTTATATATTATATAAGATATAGATATAAAATTTTTAAAATTTTCTCAGACATGATAATATAAAATCAGTACACAAAGGTTCATAGGTACGTAAGAAGGTATGTGTACGGAATGTTAGTTCGATTTTGAAATAATATATTATTTTGAATTGCACGACATTGCTGATATTATTATTAAGTATAGGCTTTTATGCAAACAAAAATATTTTATAATTGTTAGATTATTGTCTAAAAAAATTAAAAAAAAATTATTGAATAAATTCTAAAATATTTCACAAAAATTTTGTCGAATAATAACAGCAATTATATGCCAAACACTATCAGTGACACTGGCGTAACGAATTCGTAAACAATTACACAGAACTTCGTTCTAAGCTCTCTGGTAATCTATACGAACCAGAATTACCAATGGTTCGAAGAAAATGTTCTTTAAATGTGTCACGTAATCCGGCGCACCACTAGACGGCGAAATTTTGTATAAAAGCATTTGAAATGCAGTTAAAGCGTATAGTTAAATATTAATTTACATAGAAAACTATTAACAATTAAAAAATAAACATGTCCAAATACTTGGTAAGTAAAAGCACAATTTTTATGAATTAATGAAATTAAATAAATTTAATGAAATAAATTCAAGTACAATAAATTCCTGTGAATTCCTTTACTAAATGTACCTTTATTATTTACAGTATTTCGCTGTCTTACTCGCAACTTTAGGTTACATCTCCGCCAGCTATATTTCTCCACGTGTATATGCACCACAAGTTGCTTATCAAAATGTGCCAGTGGCTGTGCCAGCATATAGAGCACCAGGTTATGGCGTAGCACCAGGTTATGGTGTACCAGCTGTCGTCTCACAAGTTTTAAAACCAGTCATTCCTGCTCGCGTTTCATACGGTGTAGCACCTGCAAATCGCTTGGTTCCTGCTCCATCACATCCATCTGCAACAGCTGCTGCTGCCTCACGCGCCGCTCGTTTGAATGCTGGTCGTTATGGAGAATTGGCAGTACCTTCATATGCTGTCTTATCTGCAGAACCTCTACCAAATCCTCTTGAATATACCGGCTTGTTGGCACGAGCAGCTCTTCTCCCTGGAGGCAGATATTAAGTTAAAATTAAGTTAAAAAGCAACTCCATTGAGTTGTGCCCAAACGTGATGAAAAGTCTTAAATAAATAAGTTAATTTAAAAAAAAAATAACTGTTCTTTTAATTAATTATTTAAAGTATTTAGTTAGATTTTAATTAACAGTAAGTGGGTGTGTAACAGTTTAACAGAGAATGTTGTTTATAATTTTATTGATGTATAAATATATACTTTTTGGCTGTTGAGAAATTTTAAACTAAGATTAGACCAATTAATATTAAAAAGGTATTGATATAAGTGGTTCAGAATAATTTAGTTTTAAATTCACTATACAAAATATTAGTAATAAATTTGATTAGCAATATGTCACAAATAATTTCATCTGAAAAAGTGATGGAATATGAATTGGGTAAATATTAATTTTATTAAATTTTATAAATTCCATAAAATTTATAGTCCAACCTATAAAAGAAAAAATATATTTTAATAAAAGCTAATAATTTAATTTCAAATTTTTTTAGGTATGTATTTCTTTAAAGCAAAATATGTGCTTTATTAGAATACCAATGAACATAGTGAAATTAGATTTGAGTCTAACAGTAATGAAGAAATAACAACAAAAATTTTAGTTAATTTATTTGAATTTGTCTGACCATATAACGTTGTTTTGAGTATTGCCAAGTACTTATCATCAGTGATTTTAGAAGTGTTTGAAGATTTATTTAAGTAGTGGGATTCAGATTTAACGATTTAACTGTCTACATAAAATTTTTTTAGTGTTAAAACTGTAAGACTACTTGAAATTTGTAGCTCCATCTGTGGCTCCATCTGTTAGTTTATCGATTATTTCGTTAACTGTATTTTCAAAACAAAACAAAATAGTAACGAGGATGAATTTTTCTCTTCAAACAAATTCTAGTCTAAAATAAATTTAAAAAGGCAATGTAAGAATTATTATTGGCCTTACTAAATGATATAAAAAATAACTATATCTACTACTCACACTAAATATACATTCCAATCATAAACCAATCATAAACCTTAATACCGATATGCATTAATAAAATATTTACCTATTGAAAAGATCGACAATGACCTACTTAGTATGGTACTTTTCGTTTGGTATGGCTGGTTGGTATGGCTTTATAAGAGCAAATAGCTTCATTTTTCGAATTTAACGCAATATTCTTATCTGATCAAAATATATATAATAGATCAGATAATTGTATTTACCATTATGTACTATTTGTTTATAGTTCTATTTGTAATTATATTCTCACATTGAAAAGATTGGTAAATTAAAATTGAGTTTACACTCATTTTATTTCGGCTTCATAATCAGTATCTTTCACTAATATAGCTCAAACTTATTGACGACCACCTCTAATGGGCGTGCCCGATGAAAGCAGCTGTATGTATGCATTGATTAACTTGAAATAAGAAATAAAATATTATTTATACAATATTTAATATAAGTATATAAAAATAATAAGAAGTATGTAGATCGGCTTGACTTGATGCAGCTTGAATAAAGATTTGAAATCACGTCTTGAGCACGTTGAAAAATTGTTGCTTATAAAAAGAAGTGCGCGATTTGCATTTGCTTATTAGTACCAATTGTGAAATAAACTAATTAACGCAACCCATAAACAATCAACATGACAAAATATATTGTAAGTTTGCAATTCGTAGTTTTTTATTTGGAAAAGTTTTAATTATAAATTTAATAAAATTGCACTTCCGTTTTTATTGTTTCGCTTAATATAGACATTTGCATTGGTGCTATTCGCTTCCGTAGCTATCGGCTATTGTGTTCCTGTAGCTTTACCATATGGCAGTGGTGTTCCAGCTGTCCAACAAGTTAGCTTGCGTAGCTTATCTGGCATAGCTAATATTCACAAATATTTGGATACTGCACCAGCTTCATCTTCATCTTCAGCCGCCTCATCAGCAGCTGCACCATCTGCCCAAGTTATAGCTCAACCCGCCTATGCTGCACCACATGCACCAGCCTATGCACCAGCACAATCTGTTGTTTTACCAGCACCTTCACCAGTATATGGCGCTGCTCCAGGTTATGCTGCAGCACCCAGATACGGTCACCCAGCTCCCAGATATAATGTAATCCAACCAGCTGTTGCCACACAATTGAACCCAGGTCAATTGAACTACAAAGCCATCCAAGGCGTACCACAATACAATACCGTTGCCTTACCTGTAGTTCCATCTGAAGCCGTCGCTAAATTGTATGTACCCCGTCCAGCTCCAGCCCCATATAACATTGGACCCGCTTATTAAGTATTAGTTGTGTAAATAGTTTTAAGTGTGCTAATAATCTCAGCAATGCATCATGACATCCACAGTTTCAATTTTTTCCAAGCGTAAATTAAATTCCAAAACCATGACCAGTTATTTTAAACCGAAATTCAAAATTTGACTGTTATTTTTATTTTTTTTTTGACTTATTAGTTTTTAATTAATTGAAATCTAAGAAATTGAATACACAAATTTGGCTAAAACTTTTGTATTAAAAAAATAAATAGAACTTTTTTTACGTTGAACAAAGAAATTAAAAAGTTTTTTTTTATTCCGAATTTACAACATTGCCATTTGAAGTAATGAGTCAGCTTTTCCGGCTCAACTTACATTGACCTCATAAATGTGCACTTGACCGAACGGAAATGTAACTAACTTCCGCATAAAGAAAACTGTTTGCCTAAGTCAAACTCACTTCGAATTCAATAACGGTGGCAGGCCTTCTCATGAGAACTCAAGAGCAAAAATAACGTCACCTTTGTTCATATTATAGGTCTCAGTGCCTTACATAACAATTACAATAATTAATTATATTATAAATAATTATTATATAAATTATTATAGTTAATTATTATAATTATATATTGTAATTATAATGGTCTCAAATTATTAAACAATATGAAGAATTTCTACGTTCCAAAATCTACAAAATTTTTTTTTCAGAAAGGGTTTGATGCCAACAATCTTATAACTTACTGATGACCAGTAAATAACTTCTAAAAGAAACACAAGACACCGAAAGAAATGGGTTCAAAAACATTTTAAAATAAAGTCTTATTATATGAAACTATGGGTTATAAAAGTATACGTAATGTGTGTCTAGTATGTAACGTAATGGATTCAAAAATATTTCAAAATGAAATTTTTATGTATGGAACTATAGATTATTTTTATAACCTTTGATTGGAATGTAATTTATGTAATATTTTATACTTCTGAAAATAGAAACTATAATGGTAAACTAGTTTTTTAAAGTATGTACTTTATAAATACTATATATTACTACCCTTAGGTAAAACTATTTATAGTCATACTAAATCTCAATTTAACTCGTATGATAGACTTAAGCTAATGTACTTAGATAACTATCTGGCTTGTCAATAGTGGTCTTTAATTTTTCTTCCAACTAAATCATCAGGTAAAGTTAAGTAAATAGTTATCAAATTGTATAGAAATTTTATATATAAACATAAATATAATGGAAATGAACATGGTGCTAGGTTTCCTATGAATCGGAATACTCCAATCGTGGTAGAGATCTTGCACTAGCAATCGAACGTAACCAAAGAAATATTCAGAAGGAAAGTCTAAGTCTCTACCATTGAGAATTGTTTGATATCAGTTAAAGTTAATTTACATATAAATTAATTCGATTTGTGGAATACTGATGAGATTCAAAAGAGTCATTCTATCAACAAGAATATTTGAGTTAGTTTACAAAAGATATTTGTATTGTTCTCAATATTAACAGTTAGGTCTAATAAGAAATAACAAATAAAATGATTTTTAAAGAGAAATCAATTCTAAACAATATGTTCTATTAAGAATTTCGTTTTATCTGTCATAATTTCGTCTTTCGTCATATGTTTCTGAAGAATCATATAAAAAATATCAATAAATTTAAAAGGAAAAAATTGAGGTTCTACAAATAAATTATATATCTTACTGAACCGTTAGAATTGGTATGTAAAGTATGTATTTGTGCAAAGAATGAGTTTAAAGCAAGCGGTGAAAAATATTCCTGCAAAGATCGAAGAAAAAAGGGATCGGTAAATTATAAATTTATATGTTTTAAAAGATCGGTACGTATAACTGAAGAATCATCGAATCGGTAAAACTGAAAAACATTGTAAGCATTGGCCCACTATGACTGTTATGCTAAGAGAGAAGTCATAAATTTAAAATAAGACATTAGAAATAATAATATTAAATTATCTATTATTTTAATAAAGATTAATAACAATATTATGAGTTATGAGATTGTGATAACTATATTATATTATTGTTTTGTACAAATTATGTAGCACATCTTAAGCACATTCTTATTAGAACAATTTCATTTGCTTTAAATTTACTTTACTGCAATGTGCGGAGACATTAAAGTATTAAGTATAATTATAAAAATTTAATAAATAAATAAAGCATTTCACATTAACACTATAAATTTTTATATAAAATTATTTATGTTTACGTGAAATAACGTCTTAAAAGTTTAATCGAATTATATATACTTCACCATTTTCTGTAATCACTTATGACTGTACTTAATAATAATTACTTGATTCTAAAAAATTAAAATGATTAATATGTAATATTAATATTTTTCAAATAGCATGAACCAATATTCTGTTCTTTCAGAAAGCAATATATATTAAATATCATTTTTAAACTGTTCTTTTATTTGGCTCAGATGCAAAGAATTGAAATATTAATCAGGGCTAAATTTTTTGTTATACTACTGTAAATTTATTAAAATTTTAAAATACTTAAATTCAATGTTATACTATTAAATAAACATTTTCATCAAAGAACTGACTCAGTCAAAATAGTCTTAATCATGAACTATAAAAAATCACGAAATTTGGATAACTATCATATTTTCTGCATTTTACAATTTATACCAAAGATATTTTAGTACATTTATATGATGTGGTCTGAGTATCGTTATAAGAACTTGTTATCGGATCTGTTATTTGTAAATAAAAAGAATTTTTCTTATCTCATGTTTTCAACTGTGTACAGTGAAGTAATCGGTGTCATAGTCAAATAAGAGCACTGATTTAACAATAGAGTAGTAATAAAACTCTGATGATAATTTTTTATCGATAATTTTCTATAATTATTATATTAATGGGAAAATTCTAAACTTAAATTGTAGAGTATGAAATTATTAGCTACATTGATTAAGAATTAGATATATTTATTATTAAAGATCTAAATATCTTAGTACATAATACACTATTTATAATAATATACCAATAGCATTATCATACTCTTACCGCAATCTGACAGATTTTTATACTTCAACATTTTATTCAACTATTTTTAACTTGATTTAATAAAAATGAATATATCTGTCTCAAAGTCTTGACAATAAAACTTAGTAAAGTTCTTGAATACAAATCAATAACTAATGTGTAAATATTTTGTCAAAATTTAAACTAGAGATATAGAGATCTAGAGAGATATATGACAGAAACTTTCTATTAAATCCAAAATTCATTTAAGACCTTATGGATAACCTGTTGCAAAATTTGAACATGTTTCAAAATTTTGATGTAGAAAGTTTATAAAACTCTAAAATATAAGTGCACTATTAACTTGAAAATAATTTTACAGAAATTTAAACCAGTCTAGAGAGGTATGTTGCTTATTCAAAATTATTATTACTGAAACTTTTATTTAAATTTAAGACCCAAAGATATGATACGTATTGAACCATATGTTCAAAAAATTATGTGAATATTCATATATTAAAATATATGTAAAGAACTGTAAACCATAATTTACTGTAAGAATTTTATATCAAAATGTAATAAAACTATAAAATATGAATTATATATTTGCGAATTACTAGTCAATAATTTTAACTACTCTAGCGAAATAAATTGCTTACGCTAAAGTTGTCATGACTTGAGCTCTCAATTGAATTTGTAGTTTTAGCACAAAAGTGTAAGACCTCATGAACTATTTATTTTAATATATTATTTTGACATTCTAATTTCAAAATTTAATTGCGATCTTCAATATGGATAAATGGAATAATAACTGCAAAATTAGAATTTTAGCTAAATTGAGAGGTATATGGAAATATTATCATGGATGAAAGTTTCATTTGAAACTGAAATTCAAGCGTATAAGACCTCTTTGACCATCAATTTTAATAAGTTTTCGCACTTTCATAAAAAATTTAAGAAAACTCTGAAAGAATTCTACAGAAATTTTAATAGAGTCATTAATGGTGATATCTTGCTTACGTCAAAATTGTTATGACGGGAACTCTCATTTGAAATTAAAATCTAAAAATAAACTTCAATAATTTATTCTAATTAATTTTTTTAAATTTAAAACTTAATAATTATCTTGAAGTTCAGCTCTCTAATCTGAAAAAGTTTTTAAAAACCAAATATCATGACTGAAAGCTTTATTTGAGTTTTGAACTTGAGTATACGTATAAGACCTCATGAACCACTTGTTTGAAAAAATTTCAAAATTGTTATATCAAAACTTGATAGAACTCAAAAATATAGGTTCATAATTAAGTTAAAAAGTTAGAGAGACAAATGTTAATGGAGTCGGTAATAGGGATATATATAATTTGTGTTAAAATTACAAGACTGGATGTAAGATCTAAACTTACATATGAATTATTTATTTATTATTTTTATTATTTGTATAATAATTGTAATAAAAATTATTAATTATTTATTTTCATAATTTATTTTCTTATTTTTATATTAAAACTTAATACTTGAGTTTGTATATTGTTTAATTCAATCTACAAACTTCAACTTACTTAAGAAATAAACTTACTTCTGGGCTTATGCCCAGAACTTTCTTCAAAATCTAAAATCTAAATATATTAGACTCCATTAACTATAAATAATATTTCTATTTCGTATTCATAACTGAATCCAGAATTTTATTTACTGTAACCATTTCGAAAAATGGGTCTTATTACCAGTTCTAACCAGACATCGAAGTTTCCAGTTTGTTTATTCTGTGATGAATGTTTAAAAAATTTTGATAATTTCTGAAGTCACATACATGTTAAGTTGTAAAATCAAAATTTGATAGTAAAACGTAAAGAACCTACCTACCGCGCCATTCTTTATTATTATTATTTTTGTTTCATTAAATACAACAACTATTAAATTGGCGATATCATGTCGAAAGTGCATGTGCATCTGGTTAATACGTACTACTACAATGGAACCGAAATCAATTTGCATTAAAGACATGTCACACATTATTAGCAAAAAAATTTATTTTAAAAATTTATTATCACTAAATTATTTACTCTCAACAAATTTATCGCTACTGTCCATGCCAAATATGGACGGACCATTGAAGCGCTTCGAAGAGTGCCAATATATCGGTTAAATGTCGCTATTGTAAACAAAAATTTAACACCGGTGGCGCGATGAATTGCGACTTCAATTGCTTTTCATATATAAATTTTATAGATTATGTCACGTAGTTGCAAGTTCAGTATTCATATTTACCGAATAATTTCAAGTAACTAGTATAAAAGCAAATTAGACATCAATTTTGCATATTAGTTCATCAATTGCTTCCTAGTGTCTCATTAGAAATATATCAACAGAGACTATATATTAAAAATGTTCCGTTACTTAGCGTGTTTTGTTGCTTTTGCCTGTATATGCAGTCCAGCTTTCTGCGTTCTTCCTTATGGTAGACCACTCGTGGTGGCTCCAAGAGTAGCAGTAGTTCCAAGAGTAGTTCCAGCAGCTCAAGCTATTGTACCTAGGGACGCACTCGCCCAAGCACAAGCTTTAACTGATGCTGCCGGTGCTAAAGCTACTGCTGTTAAAATAAATTCGGTTAACTTGGAAGCCTTAAATAATTATGGTCATCAAATCGGTGTACCACTATTAGTTAGACCTTATGGCTCTTTGACCAATTTATACGCCGCTGGATTGCCACCACGCAGTTTCGTTGGAAAAATCGATCCAGGTGTGTACATAATTTTGAGTGTTTTTGTGATAAGAAAATAATTTCATTGCTGAAGTTAGTGTCACTTTATAAATTTTGTGATTTTAATTTTTTTTTAAATCTCGTAATTAATTTTTGTTATTTTTTCTTATCAAATTACAGCTTTCCAAAGAAACAGTTACACTGGTAAACTGGAAAAAATCAGCGAAACATCAATTGGAGTTCTTGCCGTTTAAATTAAGAAGCTCTCATAATTTTAGTGTAGTTAATTAGTTAATAAAATTGAAATTATTTTTTAAGTTGAAATTTTTGTGTATCATTTTTGGAAAGAACTTTAAATCTTTTTCACCTAACTATTGATAAAATGCAGCTTGAAATATTTGGAGATATATTTGTAAATATTTCATTTATATCTCTGCTTAATTAGTGCATTTCAAAAGTCACTAAAGATAGACGCTTCTATATATGAGTAGATACTTATATAGAAATTTTATAGAAATTATAAATAACACTGATAAATGCTTGAGCATGTATGGGATCTTTTTTAATTATTTATTTTTTAATTATTATCTAATTTACTTTTGTTTGAAATGTTCATTTATAAGATATTTTCAAACAGTTTAACAATTTGAAGTTTTAGCACATTTGCTTACAACAACAATTGCTCTATTAATGAATTGCATTTCATTTCTATTTCTGATAAATAAATATTATAATAATATATTTAGATTTTCACAACTTAGATAAGTTATCTTCGAATGTTAATAAGTAACTTATAGTGATTTTGATGTCAAAAAAAAAAAAAATGATATACCAATGTATTTTTCATTTGCTGTTGAACCTATTTTCCGGGAAATGTAGGGATCTTACGATAGTTTCTAACAACAGATGCGGTGAAATTTAATCATTTATTATTATTGAGAAAAATAATATCATTTGCCATATTTAATATCGTGTGAAGATACTACAGTACTAATGCAATATAGTATTTAGTTAATATAGTTGATGATAGAAATATCACTATAAGATGATTACCAAAGAATATAATACAATGATGAAGTCTTAACAGTTATTTAGTATAAGTTCTATTCTGTAGTAAACTGCTAAACGGTTTAAGATCTTGTAACGCATGCAACTCATATATAAAATGGAGTGGAATATTTTGTTAGACCCCTAGATATACAGAAAGTTTTTAAATTATAATTTTTATATTATACTGATTACATTTATATGTATTACTTCAAATATTTATTTAACATAACTCAGAACAATAAAGAGATCAACATTATTGTTCAACCCAATAACACAGATTAAGATGTTTGCAAAAATCTTTATATACACAAAGTGATTACTCGATGTTTGAAGAGTACATTAATAGCTTCCCTATAGAAAATCGATATTAGAGCCATACAACTTTAGAATAATGCTAATATCAATGTTCAAAACGACACATGGTTTTTGTAAATATAAAATATGTAAATACTGATAATTTGTAATCTTACATTGTGGTCATGCAATCAGGGCAACGAAAGTAATTTGGGATGAAACATGTTAAATATAACATATGAATTTCAAGACCATGTACAACCAGAATAGAGAATTAAGTGTGGCCACTTTTACTTAATCGATTTAAGAGTTTATCGACATTGTAATAATTGAACACAGAGACGGGTACAGTCGATTGTTTGACTTTAAGAAAGCGACTTGATCCATAAATGTGAATATTTAAATAGATACTTTATGAAATTATAAAATTAGAAGGAAGAAATTATAAAACTTTGGGTTTAGAGTGTGAAGATTCTAAAGCATTACTGGATAAATCATGTACTCAGATAAACAAAAATAATATTATAAATAGAAGATAAGCAAAAAACTAATACAAAAGTAGTTCTATATTAATAATTGATGGTTGTATATTTTATATATTGATATTTTATTTTTGACCGACAATTTTAGCGATCGCAAATGACAGTAGTTATTTTCTGTTTAAGATTCACTTAAGTTATTAAACTTTTATAAAAATTAGCAAAGAATGAAGATCACTTAAAGATCACTTTACTCTAAACTAATAATATTGGACAATATAATTATCGTATGGGTGTGGTGAGGAATCCAGAAAACAAGGAAGGCTGGAGACCATAAGAATAATTTCTATAAAATGACATAGTTTTAATCCAAGTTCTGTAATATATAAAAACTATTTCATGTATTATATTATTTATTCAATAAAAGGAATATTGCATTGAAATCAATTGCTACACAGCACTATCTGCGTATATAGTCGCATGGTCATATTTGCTCTGTTGATATATTACATACATATATAGGTAGGTATTACATATGTAGGTAGGTATAGATGTCGGTAGGTATTACTCCATGGGTTTCTTTTCTTTGTAAAATATTATGTAGAGCACATTTTTATGAAATGAAGAAGACAAAAACCACACTTCCCTTTGTCACAACCTTTAATTATAGTAAGTAATGTATAGTAAAATATGATATATTGTTTTGAACATTAGTATAGCAGCAAATGATGTAAAAAGAATTGTATTTAGTTATGATTTTTTATTTAAAATTACTAAAAATACAAATAATAAAAATAAAAGTTAACTTAAGATCTCAATTACAGTAAATATAACGTTAATATTATTATTTAAATAAAATAAGCATTTATTATATTTTAGTAAAATGTTTCTTTTGCATCTAAGAATATTTGAAAGCAGTAACATCTAAAAAAGTATTAACTATGATTTGTAATTTATTTTATTTAAAATATATGATTTTGAAATATGTCTATGAAATATGTTTAGTTCAGGTTTTTAGAAATCAAAAACAGAAAAATAAGAATAAATGTTGAATGAAGTGATGAATCAGTTGATTATAAGCCCAAGTGCATTAAAAATAAATAGAATTGGCTCAGCAAATTTAATTGCAGACAAAAATTTAAAAATTGGGTTATTCTGCGTAAAAAATGCCAAAAACTACAGAAATAAAATATTTTAAATAATTTTTTTTTAAAAATATTTTTAAAATTTTCAAGTTGATTTTGTAAGATTTCTGTATTGCATTACGATTTTATTAAACAGAAATTAAGTAAAAAATCTTGAATAAAAAGTATTTAGTAATCAATTTAATTATAAATAATTATTTAATATATATGTATGTGAGTAAGAAGATTTCTAACAGTTTTCTATACAAAATAAAAGAATTGGTTTTAGGCTCTCTCTCGCAATTTTTTTTTTTTTGGGAATTTTAATAAAAATTTTTATTTTATTTTTAACAAAAAAGGTTAATAATATTTTTGATTTAGATTTTGAGTTTAAGTTTAAGTTTTTATTTGTTGTTCATTTTCTTAATTAAAATACATAAATTTTCTTTATTAATTTTAAACATAAAATTGTATTTGCATATGATGGATGTGCTTCTGTGCTTCATTCAGATGGAAATGATGTTCTAATTTCATAATTTCATAATTTCATACATGTTCATTATAAATAAGTTCATAAATTCATAAAATCATAAATCCATAAAATCATAAGTTCATATAATTTTAATAATTTAATAATTTAATAATTGATGTTGTTCATCTCTTTGCGATTTGATGTTTCGTTTCTGCTGTTATTTTGCGTTAAATTGAAATAAATTCTTAATAAGTTTTTTTTTAATTTTTAATTATAAAAATATGTGCTGTTTTTATATTCTCTTTTTTTTTAAATATTTTTTAAATTATTTATTCGGTGATCGTCCTTGTTGTTTCCTGGATGTAGACTTGAGAGCCAGGAATAGTGGATGTGGTGACGAATGTACGGTGCTTGGCGCGGATCATGTTCAAGTTAGTTTCAGCACAGTCAGCACGATCTTCGGCAGCTTCAAGTTCACGTTGGAAACGGCGTACGCGGGTGACGGATTGCTGAGACATGCCCTCCTGAAATATAAAGAATAACAAATTTATGTATATGACTTCATTGAAGATATATATAGATAAATATATATTTTGTAAAGTAGATATTTTATAGTTGCTTAAGTTGTTTGTCCTAAGCGTGTTACATATTACATATTGCTGGGACATTACCTCCTGTAAATTATAAGAGAAAAAAAATGCAACTGTTAGTTGTGTTGGAGGTCTCAGGCTACGAGATATTATATTTAAGCAAAATTTTGAATTCTACTTAAGGCTCTAAATTGATATGGGTGAATACGTACCCCAGCAATTGATATTAAAAATGATTTGGTATATCAGCCAATATTTTTAAGTAGATAACAATATCTATATGAGTGTGAAATTAACAAATATGATTCCATAAGTTTATAACATATTGTTAGATTCATAAAATAGGCTTTTCAGAATATACTCGTATCTTCAAATATACAATCAGTGTATGTTTTTATATAATAATTATTTGATTTCAATTTTTTAAATATTTTTTCTATATATGTATAAGAAAACGATATAAAGTACTAGAATTAAAAAATATTAAAATATATATTCGACAATTTAATGACTTAAATAATATATGAATAAATTTAGACAAATATTTAAAAAGTGCAACGATTTTCATAAAATCACTGATTTTAACCGCGATGGACTATAATCGAGTGATTGTATGATGATCCTATTGATCTACGGTTTATTCGAACTGATATATGCTAATATTATAAATACTATATGTATTGCGCAAGTTGCAGTTTTGAGAGTGGCTTTAAGAGTGGTAAGCATAGAGGGATGTCTCTAGACTGACGGCAGTCATTACTGGTTCCGTACTTATTGTAGAGCAGGCAGCAAAAATGGGAGTCGCATTAGTAACTACGCATTGAAAAATAAGAATCTATTCTTAATTTTCTCTCCATGCAGAGTCATAGGCGCAGAGTCATAGGCGCAGAGTCATATTAGGTGAATTCTTCTTCAATAATCTCGAAGAATTAGCAAAAACTCTTCTTCAAGCTACACACATTGAATTCAACTGGTAGAATAATACAAATAATCAATAAATTATTTGGTTTAGATGATGCAGCAATTATAAGGTACGAAATTGCTAATTGGGTACAAAGACTGACCTACAATTTTACCAAGTGATTAGATATTATCCAACTGCAAAAAATTTAAAATATATAAACTCAGCTTTAAAAGGCTTATTGACTTTTGACCATATTGAATGAATATGGTTTATAAAACATTGAAATTCTTATAAATTCATATACCAGAGGTCTAAATATTTAGAGTAATAAAAGTATGATTATAAGAAACCAAAGTACATAAAAGAACTGTTATTAGTAGTTCGAAAACTTATTTAATAGAAACATATTATCGCCTCTCTAATAGAAGAGGCGATAACTTATTTATGTATCAATCAACTTTAAAATTGTGTAGAGAAAGAAAATTTTAAAAGTTTTTTTTTTTATAATGATTATTATTCTTTCTAAGAATAACTAAAAATGGAAGTCTATACCGTCAAAGTAGGTATAGTCTAGTTCCGTTACGAAAGAACTAACTTAGCCGCAGTGCTCCGCTCTACTGGAAACCCAAAACCCAGTTACTTTATTTTCAAATTCATAGCTCAAGGTATATTTTTTTTTTGAAACAGTTAATTATTGCTCAAACTTTTTATAGTTTTGTTTTCTGTATACTGGTCTTCAGAAATATATCTTAACATTTTTTAAGTGATTTCTTGAAGTAATCAAATATGTAAATATACTCTTTCGATATGCATGGAAAATTCTTGTAATATTAGTTCACTTAGTTCTCAGAAGTTCATTAATTAAAATGTGAATCTATGTAAAGATGTATATAATTAGTGCACATAAGTTCTAAAAAGAAATTTATAATTAATTTTACCCTGCTTAAGCTTTGTTCTAAACAGAGTAGCATGTTATTTAAAATTAAATCTGTCATTATTTTCTTAATTGAAACCATACCTGTTCAGACAATTGACGTTTGAACAAGTTAACCTTGGCAGTGGTTTTGTCCAAAGCTTCTTGCAATAAGATAATATTCTTTTGATCTTCTTCGCATTGGACCATAACTTCCTTAACAGTGCGTTCCTTCTTTCTCAAGATCTTGATAGTTTCAGCGTGTCTCCTCTTCTCTTCTTCCAATTCAAGTTCCAAATCACGAATGCGGGCTTCCAATTTGCTAATGATGCGCTTGCTGCCAGCAACAGCGTTCAATTCAACTTCTTCAAGACGAATAGACAAGTTCTGTAAAAAATAATAAAATGCATAGTAATATGAAGACATGGATATAAATGCAGATGTAACAACCCACCTTAACTTCGACTTCCAAAGACTTCTTAATAGTTTCAAGCTTGACAATACGTTCTTGTTCTTCATGCACCAATTCAATGGTGTGTTTAAGTTCAACCTAAGACCAAAATATAAAAATGATCAGTTCGATATTCTTAGTTAAATACTTTGTTATTACGTACTTGCACTTTCTGGTAACGTTCATCACTGATACGCAATTCCTTGGTAACTTCTTCGTAATCAGAGGCAACAACGCTCAATTCTTGTTCCAATTTCGATTTAATGGATACCAAATTAACATTGGAAATGCTTAATTCATTGATGCGTGTCGTTGCTTCCTCGTATTGCAATTCAACGGTACGCTTAGCACGATTGGCACTATCCAAGTGTGAGCGCACTTCCTCCAATTCACCGTTCAATGAGGCAAGACGACGTTGAGCAACACCGTATTGATCGAGTGTTTGCTGCAATTGGCGTTGGATGTCCTCGTAGTGAGCTTGGAGTTCAGTCAATTGCAATGATTGTTTCTTGATGACCTTCTGCAAATCAATGTTAGTCTTATTGGCAACATCCAAGGACATTTCCAATTCAGTAATTTGAATTTGCAACTTCTTCTTGATGCGTTGAACTTCGGTCTTCAAGCGAGTTTCAGCTTCAATGACGCGAGCGTTCAATTGTTCGATTTCGATGGCAGTTTGTTTGCTAATTTATTTGAATTAAATTAAAATTATTAGAAAAATTTATACAATTTTTAAAACGAAGAAAAAAAATAAATAATAATTTGGAGTTTTTTTTGGAAGCACTTTACCTTTACCCAACATATTAAAAATTTTATATTCTGCATTTTACCACATATAGACATTTTTTACAGTGTAAATTGAATATCTAATTTGTTTGCAGTGTTTAACATATGTGCTAGTCTGTCAAATTTCTTGACAATGTAATTTTGTATCTGAGTAAAATGTTTAAGTGACTAATAAATGACCTATTTTCGCTTTTGAATACCCTCAGCAGTGTTTGGTTTGAATTCTAAAATTGCATTTTTCTTCTTCGGAAGCTAAAAATAATTCGCTTAGTTCGTATTGCAGCCAATTTTGATGAACTGACTTTTCTATTTGTACTCAGGTGAATCAAAAAATATTTCAAGTTTTGTTAAGTAATATTAACTAAAAGTTCAGTACTGCAGTTAAATGGATAGAGAATATCTTGTAGGTGTACGAAGTATCGAACTTCTTAACAATTTAATTGTATCTAATTTTGGGTGAGAAAGAAATTTATTATAAGATACGAGTATCTATAAATGCATGAATGACTCTTCTTGTGAAGAATGCATTAGTTTCGTTTTGGCAAATGTTTAATTATTTTAAACAATTTAAAGTATCTGCAATATATATTTGTAAAAAGAAAACATAAAAATAGGCTAAGCGAAGAATGTTTGTACTAATTTTATTTAGGTTTATGTTAATTAAATATGCAATTTATTACCGCCTATCTCTGCCTTTTTCTGTGATCCATACGGATCGGTACATAATTTAAGCAATTATATTTTTCAATTTTAGCTATAAAAATATAATTATTTAAATTTGAATTGAATGTTTTTGAATTGCAATTAATTAAATCGGAAGTATGTCATCATATTAATGTGGTTAGTAATAGGGCCAAACAGGTCGATTTGTACAATTTATGTTAACATGTGTGCCAACAACATGTGAGTCATCTGAGCTATTATAAAAGTTATAAACTAATTGAGGTATTTATTTTTAAACAAAATTTCTTATTAATATTAACTCAGTTTGTTAGAACTAATTTTTTATAGACCATATATAATTTATTGGATATTTAGTACAGTTTAAAGATACGCATATATATATTTCATGATGACTGCTTATATATAAAAATTATATATGATTTTTATGCATATAATAATTAAATATATTAATTAACAATTAAATTATACATACATATATTAAAATATATAATGTTAAATATAAAAATTTTTGATTAAAAATAATACTACATGTAAATTAATTTTAAAGTATTTATTTGTAGTACATATGTAAGGTAAAATAAAAGTTTTGGATTGATAATACAATATATAATATATTATATATTATATTTAAACAAAAAGTTGTAATAATATATTTTAATAAATAAAATAATGAACAATTTTTTTTTGTTTATAACATATATATTCTAATCCTTTTTGAATTATTTTTTCCCTTATGATTGCTGTAGCTATAATATCAATTATAATTTTTCTTCAAAGTTTTCTTTATTTTTTTCGATATATTTCGATAATGAATTAATTTACATTTACAAATATTTAAGTGCATTCCATTTTTCTCTATCTCACAGTAGAGAATCTATGAAAATCCATTTAAACGGCATGGATTATTCATTCCTATTCTGAGGGTACAGTGCCTAACTTTAACGGAACTTTAACTAATGAACTAACTTTAACAGTGAACGGAACTTTGAAATAGGTATGTGTGTGACTTGAAATTGGATTTAATAAAAGCGGGTTAAATGTCTGATAGTTAGCCAATGTTTGTAGAAGAGTGCTCCTAATATATATGGGGTTAAAATTGCGGGTGATGTAAGAAAATAGTGAGGCTGTGCATTTAAAATGATCGTTAATATATACCACCTGATAGTGTGAAATAATTATGACCTGAAAAATTTCGTCAAATCACCTTCTGATGTTGAAGTAAATATACTCCTAATATAAGTTAATGTATTCCATTAATAGACCTGATGGTATGAACTTTTTGTGAGGGGAGCGATTTCTTTAAAATACTTAAACATATCAAAGTGATTGTACATCTAATATAATTATATGTATGGGGTCAAAATGTCTGTCGCTTTTAAAATGAGAGTAGGAACTGTAACGACAATAAAACGACTATCGCTGATAGAATGATTAAAGGGGATGTAATAGCATAGAAATAAATGACAATAGAAATTGAGTTTACGTTTGATGGCCTATAATGATATTCTCTGAAATCTTTGATTAAAATTAAAATTGATGAAAAACGAATAAAGGGACTGTAATGACTGTGTTTATTAGATTTTGTCAGTGCACAGATTCAGGCATTGCAGGTATTAAGTTTACGTGTCTAACAAATATCGGTAATGATCTAGAGATCTAAACATAATCAATTGAGAATTACTTTTCTTATCATTCAACTGGAGTTATATTAAGCTTAAACACTATTCTATCTAAATTATTTAAAAATATATAATATAGTTTAAAATATACTCATATGAGGTTTTCAGTAAGAATCAAATAATATTCATTATGCTATACTTATTGGTTAAAACATAGGTGTGTATAAATAGCACACTTGAACAAGTACTTGAACAAGTCTACTATATACTATATTGGTTAGTTGGAGACATCGATTTTATCATACTCCTTAAATATAATTTTTATTACTAGATTTTTTGCTATGCTTTTATATCAAAAAATATATTTTTGAAATATTTGGTATGCAATATGAAGTAAAATAATATGTTAAAAATAAATGATGTAACTTTTATAAGAATAATTTGTGGCTTAATCTGATTATTTAATTTTGAGAAATTATTTATATCTTTATTATATAAAAAGCAATTGTTTTGTATAGGCATTTAGTTAGAAAGACTCGTGCAGATAAATGCTTTCACATATTCAATATTCTGGTTACTTAATCTATTTTGTCATTATTTTGGCAGACATACGAGTAGTTCATTCATATTGTATTTTTGCTAGATATTAACATTTCAATTTAATTCTTATATTTTTATTTTATTTTTTTTTTTTGTTTAAAGTACGTAAAGAAAATTTAAATTTTTAAAAAATTTTTTATATGTTGTTTGTCATGTGCGAGTTCATTTATTTCGATTTTTATGCTGGTTAAGCAAAAATAAAAAAAATAAAATTAAACTAAATTATTTAAAATTTAATTTTGAAGGACAACAAAACAATGGCAAATTTTTTACTTAAAATATTTAACGAATTAATTGAAAATAAGTTTTAAAATAAAAATATTGAAAATTATTGTCCCTGTACTGGGTGTGCGTGACATATCTAAGAGATGTGCGATCGCCTACAAAAACTGAATTGCAAATATTTTGATTTAAAATTTTCTTGAAAGGTTTTCGTTCTGCACTATTTCTTTTATAAAATGTATTTATTATAAATTATTTTTAATAATTGCTATAGCAAATACTTAATACGATTTAATTGTTATATTCAAATAATGGGTAATGATTAGTTTACATTTCAAACCTTTGCAAGATATTGCAGGCGATATAAAATCATTGTGGAAATTAAATTGAAATCCAAAAACTGTTAAACATTATCTAGAAAATAGTGTAATAATAGTAATAAATTCACAAATATTAATTTTATTCTATTTTAAGTCGGTATTAGGTAAGACTGGGCTTAATAGTTAATCTATATGCCAGACTAGACTTAGATCACCTTTGGGTCAGTTACGAAAATGATTTATATAAACAAGTTATAACTAAGAATGTAATAATAAAATAATTTTATAATTATATATTCTTTTTAAATGCAAAAACATTATATTATTATATATTATAAATTATAAATACAATCTAACATGACGTATATGGAATTTATTAAAATTGGTGCAGTATAAAATATATTTATACACATCCAAAGAATTTCTTTTAAGTAGTACATGTTGTCCGAAAGCTTTAAGGAATATAAAGTGAATGGCACTTATAGTTTTTTTTAGAGTTAAAAGATAAGACAGGAACTTGAGCCTTTTAGTAATTAAGAACTCGTCGAACAGGTAGCAGAACAAACATATCTGTCTCTTCGCGCATATACTGTATATGTTTTAGTTTATTTTATATCATTTATATGTTAAAAGATGTGATTAGTAAGCTTTACTTATTTGGTGGACTGACTTAAAGAAGAAGTAACCCTTTGCAGGTAGTAAGTTCAACAAGATTTTCGGAATCTTCATGTCACACTTGTAAAGTAGGAATATGTGTAAAAAAGCACCATTATTTTTGAAGATGTGACTTAATTACTAAATAAAAAAGATATTTATTTAATAATTAAAGATAAAATATATAAATTTATTTTGGCCTGTTTATTTTGTAAAGTGCAGTACATCCGCACTTATTTTATTTTTTTTGGTCTAACAACATTTATTTTAACTTAATGGATACCCAAAATTTTTTTACCTCAGATTTCCAGATTTCCTGAACGTATGGTTTAATATATTTCAAACCAAATGCTTTTCCATAAAAATTAGTATCTTCACTTTGGCTGTTAAGATAAGTAATATAAACCTAAATTCTTAAAATCTTGTGTTTGGAAATTTGAAATATTGTAAATCGATTAAGTCGGGAAGACTTAAATACTTTTAGAGAATAAAAAACTCTCTTCAATAAACATAACATAATATTTTATAAAATTTTTTATAATTAATGATATAATTATTAACTTAATTAAAACTAAATTTGATCCAGTCGACTAATTCTAAATTAATCACATTACTTCTAAAAGTTACCAGAATTTGCAAATAACTAAAAAATGTTAATTTAATTAAGTGTTAATATTCCACATATTACAAGTTAGTAATATTAATTTCATACGAAGAAACTAATATACATGTATTTAAGGATGTACTTATAAGGACGTATTTATATCATGTACTATTTTAAGTTACTAATTTAGACAG